GCTCTTGCATAGGAAGGGGATGCCAGCTGTATCACCTCTTCCTCCATTCTTAGCCAGAAAGGAAGGACCTGGCTTCGGTGCCCAACTCCAGGAGAGGGTTCATAGCTGTGAAGCAGAAATACATGCCTCCTCCCCAGCCCAGAATTAGGCACCTTTGAGAGTGGGCATAGCTGTGAACCCGCTCCTGGAGTTGGGCACCTAGGCCAGGTCCTGCTCAGCGTGCTAGCTTCTGTGAATCCCCTCCTTAGGCACCTAACTCTCCCCACATCTCAGGGAGCCCAAGGGCCTATCTTGTGGCTGAGGATTCCAGTAGGTGACAGGGGGCCTAAAGTTAGCCCTTTAATGCCTCCTTTGTGGATCTAACCCTTGGTTAGGCTGCCGGCAAACTAAGGCTGACAGTATTGCATCAGTTTGTGTTGAGGGTTGTCTCTGCAACCATATGGTCTAGAAATGGGCGGGGGGGTGGGGGGAGGAGAGGGAGAGGAAAAGAGGAGAAGCAGGGGGGTAGTTGAATTAAAGCTTATATTCTTCAATGGGAATGGATTCCTGAGCTAATTGCACAAGCCAGAATTGTGGAAAACGTGCCTGCTATAAAATGTTATCTGCTCCCTCTGAAATGGCTGTCAGGCTTCCTGACAATACCAAGTGTGACTGAGCTGTCACTAAAACGGGTCAACAAGATGTCACGTTTTAAAGCCCTGTCCACACCAGAATCTGGTGTAATAGCACCAATGACACAAAAAGCCTTAGGATACACTGGTCATGGACTGGCTTGCTGGTTTTTTCCATGCTTTTCGAGCCTAGGTCAAATTCTCCCCCCCTCCCCTGATTTGTACAAGTTGTGCTGTACACACCGTAGAGCTTATTTTCTCACAGATTTGCCAGGAGCGATGCCTTCTTCACCAGCAGTATCGCCATGCTGTTAACGTCTTCAGCAGCACCTCTAGAGGCCTCCTAAGAACACGGTGCTAGTTAGCTCATATAGGCGTCTGTACACTCGTGCCCAGCCAGGGCAACGAGATATGGCTGCAGCTAGAGGCCAGGATTCAGAACGGGACTGTGATGCTCAGAACCACCCACCTTTGCTTTCACGAGCTGCATCAAACTGTCAGTGCCTTAGACACACTGCTTCCCGAGCCTACAGCTCTGCCCCACGTGACGCCTTTCTTGGAGTGGCAGGGCAGCAGAATGGGGCTGCCTTCTCTGCCCCAGGAGTGACAGCAGGCCCTCCCCCACCTCCACTTCTCTTTCCCTCACCCCATGAGACAAGGGGGGCAGCACTTACCTCAGTAACCAAGCAGAGGCTGCTTAGGTGAGTGGGCCAGGCCTATCGCACTTTGCTCCTGCCACACAGTTCTTTGCTGGGATGGTGTCCACAGGTCCCCCAGAGCAGGGGGTCTTAGAGTTGCCTGGGGCAGCTCACACCTATCAGTGCTATTGCCTCAGGCTCTCTGCAGACATCATTGCATCAGTTACTTGCTTTTATTAAAATGAAAGCTGAGATTCTGATATAATCACGTGACTCCCAGGGCTGGGGCCCTTCGCACAGGCAAACATTTCCTATGTCTCAATCCAGGCCGCTCATGAAGCAGCACTGCTATTGTAACCAGAGAGCAGCTATTAATTTATAATTATGAATTGTCCCCAATCATCTCCCCCTAAAACTCAAAATTACTGTTATGAAAAGCCAAGAGAATCCAGCGAAAAACTAAACAAAAACAAGTAAGAATCACAGTGTGAAGATGAATACAGATGATTTCAAGATGCAGTATACCCCAGCTTGACAGACACGGGTGGTCAGAAGTAATTACAATAACCTAAGGATTACATTAGCAGAGAATTGTTTCAATGAAAATATGCATTCCTTCTGTCATGGCCGGGTTTGAAACAAACAAGGGAAAACTAGAATTCCCAAATACCTGGCTAGTGTAAAACTGATGTAGCTCCTTGCTCTACTGAGAAATCTGTCCACATCTTTTCTCTAAGAAAGATTTCAGACTCATCACCTAGTTCCATGTCATTTTGCCACCTACCTTCCTGTGTCTTTTAAATCTGTCCCACCCGACAAAGCCACACAACCCTCTGAATCAGAACTAGCGAGCACAAAAGTGTAATGACAAAGTGCAATCTGGAAGTTCGTGTTAAAGAGTTATGCTATGTTACTACACTAAGTTTTATAAAAACTTATGATCATTTTGAGGAAACCATAATGGCCGGAGAATGAGTTTTTGGATCCATCAATTAGGTCCATTTTCCATTTAGCTTAAATACCACATATATTTTTTTTCTCCTGGATTAGGACTGTTTGATTCATTTACTTGTGTACATTTGTGAAACAGCTCTTGCACTTTCATAAAAATGATCAACAATGTCCAACTAGCTCTGTGGATTTCAGTCGGGCTACATGGATTTGTAACAGCTGGGGACCTGGCCCCACACAGTTCATTCATTTTAGTGTCCTACTGTACTTGTTGAACCATTTACCAGAAGTTTTCACAAGGATCATTTAAACTAACATGGTTGCTTTCTGCTCACTATTACCACAATACAGTTGTGCCTAGACGGTGAATTGTTCTAAAAGCTCTTTAAGTTTGTATTAATGTATTTAATACTCTTCCTTCTTTGTTGCTTATATTAAAAAAGCTGTAAGAAAATAAAATATTGAACATGACATTGCGAAGTACCAATGGGCAACTTGTTGGACAAGAAAGATGAGTTGTCCCTGCCAAGGGTCATGCTGGAAATGTTGGGGGAGAGAAGTAGGAAGGAGTGACTAGAGGGAAGAAAAAAAAAAGCATTCATTCAGACAAACGCCGGACAGAAACCACTTCCACAATTCAAAGAGGCAGCAGACCAACAGACTCCTAAATCAGAAGCAAGATGGCTGGAAAAGAAAGTAACATACGTGCTCAAAGTCAGACAGTAAGCATTAGAGGTTAACTAGCATATGGTTTCTTTTAACCACCAGTGAAAAAACACAGTCTTTTTAAAAACTTCCACAATACCTTATATCTGCAGCTCTTGCATAGCCAGGCAATCATATGCTTATAGGTTTCATAGCCCAGTTACACCCACACAACTATAAAACAAACTTACCACTCTTTATTCAAGAGGCTAGCATTCGTTGTTAGTAATAAACTAATAACCCTTCTGTCTGGTCTTAACAGAGGGAGGCTGTGAGGCTTAATTAATTCATGTTTATAAAGTTCTATGTTCTTTGTGATGTCCTGTGATAAAAGTGCAATGAATGAAAGTGCAGAAAAATTACAAGTATTTACTATTACATACTGTAAAATACTTATGTGAAAGATGCTAAATAAAGGAAGAAGGGTGCTAGGGGTTGTTTGATCTGTAACACAAATTAATCTCATTTGCTACTGTTGTTAGGACTAAAAAAAGTCTGAAAAATATAAGAACAGTGAGCCAAACGCAGGTCTGTGTAATGGGTGCAATTCTACTGACTTCACTGGAGTTGCACCTTCTTACACCAGGACTAAACTTGACCTAGTATGTCTGAAACCCACGCAGCCTAGTGAAATTATTAGTCAAAATGAAGCCACACTAATTATATCTAACACATTAAAAATGGGTCACACTTGCTTTGACGCACAGTAATCAAAGTTAAGCCTTTGTGAAAAGGACACATTTGCTTAGATAGTCTCAAAAGTTCTAGCAATGTCTAGAAAACCTGTTTCTACTCACTGTATGGATGGATGCCTGAGTAGCTAGAAGTATTCAAATCTGGACAGGTGATCTTTATTGTAGATTAATCTTTCAATGTAAAATCACTATTTCCTGCATAGCCACACAGTCAATCACAATGCAAGAAAACGACAGGTGTATTCATTTGTAAGGACGTGCTTGTGAGTTATGTATCCAGTTATAATGGAAGGAAAAGCTAGCTACTGTGCAAAAGGATGGCCAACACAAACCTCAACATATATCAGTAGTGAACACCTGTAGGCCCAAGGTTGGAGCACAAATGTATTTTTGTCAATCACAAGTTTCATATCATTTTCTTTTAAATATCTACACTGGCCAGTTCCTCAGCTGGTCTACATCAACATGAAAGCCACCTGAAATTGATCTCAACGGAGCTATGCTGACTCCCACCAGCTATCCCACTACGGAGTCAACTTTTATACATTTCACAGAGCACCTAACATTCTCTTCCACAGCCTACAGACCTTCCAGAATTACACTGAGCTGCAGCTTTCTCTCCCTCCAGCAGTGATCTATCAAGACATCTAGTGCAAGTCCATTAGCTCAAACAAGCCTCTTCCTGCATTTCTGTGTTGTGCCGGAGAACGCTGGTAGAGTTCCAAAGTTGCGTAAAGTGCTGAAGAGTCATTTTTAAATTATGCCACAATATTTGCAGGGAACGGTATAAAGCACTAATTCATTAGTGTTACAGATATTGGATCAGTGATACTCTGATCCAAACTACAGTTAAGCAAATACATTCATGGAAAAGAAAGTTTAAACACTTTTTCACACCTCTTGATTAAAGACTGGCGTTAGAATCATAGAATCATAGAATATAAGGGTTGGAAGGGACCCCAGAAGGTCATCTAGTCCAACCCCCTGCTCAAAGCAGGACCAATTCCCAGTTAAATCATCCCAGCCAGGGCTTTGTCAAGCCTGACCTTAAAAACCTCTAAGGAAGGAGATTCTACCACCTCCCTAGGTAACGCATTCCAGTGTTTCACATTCCACATGCGTTCTACACATACACACAGAAGCACGCCCTGGTGTTCATTGCTCATTTTCAGAGTGTGCCATTGAGTGAGTGCTTTGCCCGGATTCTCTACTTCCAATGTTTAAAATGTGACTGAGCACTAGTTCCTAGGGAAAACTGTAGCCCTTGTATTTTAACACAGGATCCATGTACTGTCCTGGGGAGGAAAAAAAGATTCCCAAAATTGCAAATGGTCAATGCATAATTGCCAAGTGAGGTTGCTCTCTCTGCATCAGCTCAGAAATATGCACAAGAAGGCATGTTTTCAGGAGAATATGGTTGTTTATTTGTCTGCTGCACATAAATTATAGCCCCATGACCCACATTCATTCTTTACAGATTACAATCAAAAGGCTTCTTTTTAAAGAGCTGGTAATGAACAGGGCAAATGATACACACACACTTACTGTATATATTATACAACATACAGAAAAACTCTCACAACAAAGCATTTGGTATTTTCTGTCAATGACAAACCTGTTTCAGGATTCACCTATGGCAGGTGTTTAAGGGCTTGATCTGAAGTTTTTCTGACTACTTCAATGGGAGCAGGATTGGGCCATTCCAGCTCAAAGCAGCAGTACCCAGCAGTTAAGAACATAAGAACGGCCCTACTGGGTCAGATCAAGGTCCATCTAGTCCAGTATCCTGTCTTCTGACAGGGGCCAGTGCCAGGTGCCCCAGAGGGAATGAATAGAACAGGTATCAAGTGATCCATCCCGTCGCTCATTCCCAGCTTCTGGCAAACAGAGGCTAGGGACACCATTCCTGCCCATCCTGGCTAATAGCCGTTGAGGGACCTATCCTCCATGAATTTATCCAGTTCTTTTTTGAACAGTTATGGTCTTGGCCTTCACAACATCCTCTGGCAAGGAACTCCACAGTTGTTGTGTGAAGAAATATTTCCTTTTATTTGTTTTAAACCTGCTGCCTATTAATTTCATTTGGTGACCCCTAGTTCTCGTGTTATGAGAAGGAGTAAACAACACTTCCTTGTCTACTTTCTCTATACCAGTCATGATTTTATAGTTCAGAATACAATGCCAATGATAGTGTATTCAAATGAAACTGCAAGGAGAAATTAAGTGGCATAACGCAGTTACACACAGATGGGATGGATTTGTTTGCCCAAGTTCGGAAGAGCTATGAAGCTGGGGGGAACCCTAAGACTTATTAAAACAAATGGTGGCTGCAGTCAAGGGCATTAGCAGTAATTAAACAAAAAATGCTCAAGTTCAAACAGACTGATTGGAGACCATTGCAACTGCAGGAACTATTTTAACCCTGAGGCAATACTGTACCACTAGTGCACTAGCAGCTCACTCCTATTTATATTACATACTACATAGTAAAAATGTGCTAAAGCAATGGGCAGGCCTCAGCACTCCAACATTATAAAAACAAAGGAAGGCATCAGAAGAGAGTATCAGTAACTTGCTCACTTAGGCCCAAACCTGCACTACTGATGTAACTGGAAGTTTTACCACTGACTTCAATGGCACCATTTTTTGGCAACCCCATGCCCGTGGGTCAGAGTGCATGACTGCAAGGCATCTGAGACGCGCAAGACATTCTGGGCAGTGGAACAGGCTAAATTACATGATGCACTCTATATACCTGCCTCACTTTATACAATAATAGCATTGACATGTCAGTTGAGATTGTAGTATTTTTTAAAAGAGCATCCTAAGACACTGACCCAATCCTGCAAGGTTCTGAACATGCTCAACTTGCACTGAAGTCAATGGGCCCCATCTTGTCGGCACTGAAATCAATGGCAAAACTCCAACTGATTACGCTGAGTACAGGCCCAATATAGTTGAGAGTTCTCAGCAACCCATAATAAATAAAATATAAACAATAGGAAAAAATCTAAAATATATAGTGACATAATAGAGCCCCCAAACTGCGAAAGAGACAAATTGAAATACAGCCACTGAAACAACTTACCTTTTCCACAGCTATCAACAATCACAATGTTTTAAAGCCCAATCTCATGAGACTGTCAACACTTTGCAGGACTGAGTCCTTATTCTTGGATCCATTTTACATATACACAATGGCCTATCCAGCATGCAGAAATACACTACACACAGACCGCAAATACCTAAGGAGTTAAGACTTTCTAGCCTTTCATCTTGGTGCTAAACAATTTTAAATTGCTGCTGAGTCAGACTATATTGGGGGCATTCTTGTCATTACAGAACACTGTTATGTTTACTATGGTCCAAAGCCATTTCATTAACCAGCTGTTCTACAGATGACTGAATCGCTGCCTTAACAAGGGAAGCAGCAGTTTCTATCAGAAGCAATTCATACTGTTCTGAAGTTCCGTGTTCCTGATCACTAAGACCATTGGGTGACTGAGCAGGAGAACCGACTTTAGCCTCCCTCCTGGGGCCACTGCCTGCTACTACGGCCTCTTTGCGATTAGAAAGTTTACTGAAATTGAGGTTCCCACTTATTTTTTTATTCACCTTTTGCTTATGTTCACATGAAATTGAGGACAGTTTGCAGTCCTGGTTCGACTCCTCTTCATCAGGCTCATCATCTGCTTCAGTAATTGTAATCACAATGCTCACTCCACTGGCATCCTTGTTTTCTTCTAATTTCAATTGTTCATTTAAACAGCTCTGCACACTTACTGCATCATCTTTAAATGCCGATTGATTGAAACTCATTATTCTCTCTCTCGATTTACAGTCTTCACTAGCATTTATGTTCCTTCCAGACTCTCTACATTCAAGCCCTGTGTCATGGATGTTATTTATTTCTTGTACCTCTGTGGCTTCAGCTACTCTATCTGGCAGGTCCTTAGAAACATTAGCGCTAAGGGTGGTATTGAGATCAACTCCCTGGTTTGCTACAAGTGTATGTTCAGGAGTTTCATGTAGGCTCTTCTGGTGTAGCTCTTCCTGGAGCATTATAGCAACTGCCTCTGAATTTGCTATTTCAGACTGAACGATGCACTGTGTGTGTTGATCAATGTCTGGTCTGGACTCTACCAAAAGCGCATTCTTCCCAGTGGAATTAAGTGAGTTCCTGTCACTTTTTTCAGATGCTTGGCTGAAGGATTGATCCATGCTAGATTTGACTGTTATTGCCAAATTCTCTGGTTCACTGTTAGCTTTATTCAAAATGCCCATCAGTTCATTTGCTTTAACACTGCAATCTGATTCTTCTGTTATTTCAGAATGGCTGGGTTTTTTCTTGCCTCTTGAGAACCGTATACAGGGAATTTTAAGCCCAGAACTAACCTGATTCTTTGGAAAACTTTGCAAGCCAGGATCCTCAGCATTTATCTCCAGTTGCACTTGAGAATCAGAGTGTGTCTGCTTCCTTGAAGATTTTGACCTTCTCTTAGGTGTCACTAGACGTTTTATAGTTGTCCAGGTTCCCCTTGATGACTGAGATTGGTTGGAAACTTCCCCTTCTCCAGGGGCTGCACTGATGGATTGGCTTGTATGTTTCAAGGTTACAGAGTCTTCTTCACAGACACCTTTCATCTCCAATGCCTTCTTACATGGCTTCTTTCTTTTCTTAAAACAAAACATTGTGAGTTTTTCTGCCTGTTCTTCAGTTGAAGAGCACAGTTTTGCTGCACTAGGATTTTCTGATTGTGCTGTGTTTTCCATTTGAATTTCTTTAGCTGCCTTCTCCATATTTGTGGTCCTGCCTTCTAATTTCTTCATATATTTTTCTTTTCTATTAACCCATCAGATAAATTAATTGCAGGTAAGCTCAGAGTGCAGTTCTTTGAAATTTCATCCAAAAAACATGAAATTACTTTTGTGAACTGACGAGGTGTTATGCAAAGAAATGTTCTGATGGACTTGTTACACTACATTTATATTTCCACTATGATTTTTTTTCTTACCTGTCCTGAGAGAAAGACTGACTGGATAGATTATCACACACTTTACTGCAGTTTATCAAATAGGCTCACTTTCATCTCTGGGATGGCCAACCTGAAACACTACTTGATACGAGGATATTATTTCAGCAACAGTTGGACTTTTTTTAAATGGATGTTAAATCAGATCAAGAATTGACCGTTTTCATTTTATGATGGGCATCAATCAACAACTACTACTTGCTAATATGTTCATTATTTCACATTCTTTGAGCAATTGTATTGAAGTGATATTAAAAAAAAAAAAAAGAAAAGATACACCAAGCGGCCTTATTTTGCCTCCAGTGATAGGGTCAGCTGTTTTTCCTCTTTCCTTCTTTGCATTTCATTTGCTTTCAATTCATATTGCAAGGTTTGCCATTTATGTTGAAAAATATGGCATAGGCTTTCATCTCTCGAATTGCTTCATATGTATCTGCAACAAAACAAACAAATGATGAAAAACGTCATAAAAATGGATATACAATTTGTGTTTATAAGAACTGGGTAATTTTTCAATTTCTAAAATTCCGTGCTCTGTGTCCTGATATACGTGTGTGCGCGCGCTATTCTATGCTCAAATACACCCTTGTAATCAATGGGAGCTGTGTTTCAATATATGAAGGCAAAATGGGGTTTCAAGAGTGCCACTCTAGTTACACAGGAGAACTACCACACGAATCTTGCATATATATGAATTTTTATGTGGGTAGAAAGGGAAGTTTATTTTTATATTTCACTTGTTAGGAAAATGTTTTTCCCCATGAGAAACACTTTCCCCTACTGACCCATACACACTCATAATTCCCCCAAGGGAAATTCTGAATTGAGATATCAGATGTTTTTATTCTTAATGCACAAGATGATCATATGCAGCTCCATAAAATATAAAATGGAGGGTTTGAGAGTTATAAAAGAGAAGCTTCCTTCATACAGTTTGGTTTATTTACAGTGTGTGCAAGTGTTCCATGGCAACCCCACTTTCACAGAACACATGTTCATCATAAAATGTATGTAACCCTTCCGAACATTCCTGAATATAAAGATACAAATACACATTATACCACACTGACATACTTCTCAGTGAATACATGGGATCCTCTCTCCTTGGATAACTCTGGGAAATTCTTTTTTGAAAAATATTTTCTTTTTTGTCCTACTTTTTAAAAAACACTATTGTATGTATGTTTTAAAAAACTAAACTTCTAAATGCAATAATTTACTTATCTAGTATGCATCCGATGAAGTGAGCTGTAGCTCACGAAAGCTTATGCTCAAATAAATTGGTTAGTCTCTAAGGTGCCACAAGTACTCCTTTTCTTTTTGCGAATACAGACTAACACGGCTGTTACTCTGAAACTTATCTAACATTATTTGCTGTGGTTTAGGGATGCAACAACATATAAAAATACAAGCAAAGCAATGCACCGATATTTTATTTTATTATGAATTCAAGTCACTGACATGCAATCAATTTGTATATGGGCAAAAAATAATGTTTTGCCACAATTATTTGTCAATCTTTGCTTTCCCCTAAACCTTACTCTTGAGACCACATGTGCTATTGAGACTATCTGCAATCCAGAATATGGAATCTGTAACTGACACAAACACTGATTTTGGAAAGGAGACCCAGACCAGCATTCCTTAATCATCATTAGTTTCCCCCTGCATCGACATTACTGTATTTCTGGCTGGAAAGACAAGGAAATGGATCTGTCTGAAGAAAACAGCCAAGAGAAGATTAGGTGTCTTCTCCAGTCTCATTCTCTTTTTTTATTTTTTAAAGCAGGATGCCCTGGGATCACTTCATGACATTGCTCACATCATTGTGCAATTCTAGATCAAATGACACAGTAAGCATTACATCTCAGTGCTTTCACCTCTTGTACACTCCATGTGCCTGGCAATTTATTTCTTGAATGGCAGAAAAAATGGATGCTGATTATTAGCAATCTTCAGGCTAGTGGAGTCTGAAATTGCACAGAATGAGAATTACAATGTGCTTAGTACCTTACTGAATTGAAGCCTTAATCAATAACCCCTTTTCTGAATAAATCTTTCTCAGTTAATTTTTTTTAAATAGAAAATAAAGGAAATAGAAATGTTCAAATTACAGAAAAAGCCTTAGGATATCCATACCAGCCAACAGACCCAGGCACCCACAATATAAACACCTTTGATTTAATGCAGGTTTCTTTATATGGTCTCCAAATCTCTGGAGGTTTCCTAAGCTATAGTATTTGCAATGGAAATGGAAACATTTCTGGTAGTTTGCAAACACACCGTTTCCCAACAAATAGGTTCACCTTACATAAGACTGATGTTATGGCCAAAATTTTCAACAGTGTTGCTAAAAGTTCAGCTCCTTCATCATTATTCAGAGAACTAACCAGGTGGGTTGACTTTCAAAGGTGCTGAACACTCCCAGCTCCCATTGTGACTAATAGCTGTTGTGGGTGCTCAGCACCTCTGAAAATCATGTCATTTATTTCAGAATCCTAAATATGGATTTATTTCTCTAACTTTCGGCCCAGTGTTTGAAAACGTTGGCCTTTGTCTTTATGATGCTACGGTACTCACCAAATCTTCAGCCAAAGCTTGCATCAACTGTGTTACCCTGCCATACACAGACAGGGAAAGTCTTTCTAGGGAGCGATTGATAATGAAAAGCCTAGATTCCAGCACACTAATGCAAAAGATCCATTAGTAATAATTCGCTACATAGAGCAAGCAGGAAATGACAGAGATTGAAAACTTTTGCCTGTAAAGAGATCTATCAGCTCCCTTGTGGAAAGGAAGAGAGGCTGCCGCAACACAAGTCACCTGTCTCCTTCGTGTGCCAGCCACCGTAATGAAAAATGAAGCTAGAGGCAAAGAAATAGATGGGGGGGGGGGGAAGAAACATTCTCCCTCTGATTTTCCGTGTGAACAGTTCCATCATCCGGAGCCGGGGTCTGAAGCGCAACAGGGCTGGCTCGGCAGCAGAGGAGCTGAGCCCCAGTGAATCTTCTCCGGCTTGCCCCATTTTCAGTCTTCTCCCTTTGTGCCTGTTGCCTTCTGGCTTGGCAGGGAGCTGAGCCGGGAAGCGATGTGCCCCGCGAGGCGCTCTCACCCTCTCCCTCCCCTAGTGGCACATCCCCCACCCTCCCCGGGTGCTCCAGGGAGGCTCACAACTCCTCCAGACCAAGGGAGGGCTGCAAAGGTCTGAGGAGGGCGGCTGCCCCTCAGCTCCCCGGCGGCCAGCGCTGTCCCCTCCCCGTGCCCAGGACTAGCCAGCTCCCTGGACGCGGAGCACAGAGCGACCCTCTCTGCACAGCGGCAGGCGGCTCCGCGCTGAGCCGGGGGCGCTGCACGAACACAGCCCAGCGCCGTCCAGCTTTGCTCCCCGCAGCCCCACGGCAAAACCCGCTCCAGCCCCAGGGCCCCCCCGCCCGCAGCTCGGGCTGACGCTGCCCCGCTCCGCCCACGTGGCGTGCAAGGGGCACGGTGCCGGGCGGCTCCCTGACCCACGCAGGCCAGCGGACCCGCCCCAGCCCACGCCCGCTCTCACCTGGCACCCACGGCCCGCCGGAGAGAGGCGCCCGCAGCCCGCTCCGCCCGCTGCTGCAGCCGCTGCCGCTGCCAGTGCCGCCGCGGGGACCCGCCCAGCCGCCGCGCGGGGGCAGGGAGCCCGGCCCGCCCGCCCCGGGGCAGGGGACGCGCCCCGCTCGAGCCACGCCCCCGGCTCCCGTGCGCCGGCGGCCCGGCGGGGAGGCGCAGAGCCAGCGCGCACGGGGGCTGCGGGCAGGGCGTGGCCGCGGCGGGAGAAGCAAAGGGGGCGCTGCGGGCGGACGAGCGCTGCGGCGGCTGCCCGGAGACGCACCGTGCGGCGCCCCCGCCGGCACCTGCCTGTGCAACCTGCCCCCGCCGGAGCCCGGCTCGACCCCAGCCTGTCGCACCTGCTCGGCCAGAGCCGCAGCTCTCCCGGACCGCGGGGACGGCTCCACCTGCCCCCGGGGGCGGGGGAAGCGCCCCTGGGCTGCACCGCGCCGTGCACAGCCTTGGCAGGACAGCAACACCAACCGCGAAGTTTGTTAGTCTCTAAGGTGCCACAAGGACTCCTCGTTGTTTAGCTTCAGAGCCACAGATGCTCTATGGAGAATGAATGCCTCTATGATCTGTCACGAGATTAATGACACTCTCAGCAGGTTTGCTTTCAGCCAGTCCTTGTCCAAGAGGGACAAAGCCAGTGTTTAGTTTTTAAAGCAAGGTTGTACAAAAGAAGTGGAAGGGTAGGTGGGGGCTAGGAGAGGAAAGACAAGACAGGCTGAAAGGAACAAGATAAAGTTAGTAGAATGGAAGACTGCAAGAGGGAGATGCCATAAGAAGTGCAGCCATGAGATGAAACAAGTATTAAATGTAGAAGCTGACACAAGTTAGTTAGCCTCTAGCTCTGTCTATTCTGGCATCCTGGCTCCAGAACTGGCCTGTCCAGGATGCCTTAGATGAAGAAGCTCCTAGGGTGCCTAGCCACATGCACTATTAAATATGGGGAGAAAATCCTTCCTGACCCTATGCAAGTGGTCTGGTTTATGTTCTGAAGATTAGTTGTTCTCGTTGGAATGATATTATATAAAGGAAAATTTAAATGCATCTAGGGATTTTATGACAACTTAAGTTACTCTAACTTCACTCTTGTGACAGCCATGTAATTGTTACATAATTATTCTCCTTGCTAGCTTACTATATATAGTGTATGTGTATTACAGATAAGCTCATGTACTGGTTGGTGCATACACCTACATCAACTTTTCTTCCAGTCAGAGCAATTTTTTAACATATGCTAGGTCCAGATCTAACACAAGCATATGGGCCTTGCAGTTTTATGTGGAAAGAATTATCCAAAAATATTTAGCTGCTTGCATAGGCAAGTTATTTTAGCCAACTGACACAAAGAACTGGTGGTCTCACTTCAGATCTTTTACAGTCAGAGTACATCCAAACCCACTGAACAATTCAGGTAATTTATTTTCCTACAGATGATATGCAGTACCCCACGAAGGAAACTGGATTAAATTTATACAGTGGTGCACTGCAGGCTCAACAGTATTACTGCAATAATCACTTTTACTTGTCAATACTGGGACTGCTGCCATGTACGATCCCAAAATTCATCATAAAAATAACTTCTACTTCATTAATCTCCATGCATATCTTAAAACCCAGGGAACTCGAAGGATTTTAGCAATTTATTAGTGTTAATTAGAAGTCTGGCAGTAACTACATTTTCACATTATGAAGTGATTTTTTGGCCTATTGTGACAAACCTTGTTACAGACCATTTCATTCAGTGCTAGGGCTGTCTTTTCTCACCAAAAAGGGGATTTCAACAAAAGTTGTTACATCATTTACAAATCTCATCCTCGCTCATCAGCCATCTACTGAAAACCACATATGGAACAGCTTCCCGTCCCCAGCCACAGCATGGTGATCCAGTCTCCAAAAAGGCAAAAGTCTATATGCTCCACTGCCATTAACAATTTAGTAGGTAACAGAAACACAGATTGCAGGGCTTTCTTAAGACTGGATAGAGTGCAGGTGCCCACAAGAAAAATTCAAAGCAGAAACTAATGGTCAGAAACTTTAGGGTAGGAACAGAAGCAAAGGGATTCTTCCCTACTACCTACTTTTCATTGAATTAGTGTAGTCTGATGGCACATTTTCTCTTTTAATGCTAGCAATAGATTATAGAGTTAAGTGCAATAGGAAGATACAGTGCTCAGACTTTAAGGGATAAGGTGTATCTGTGCTCTAAAACACATTTAAAAACAACCAATTAAGCCCTGGGTTGTTGTAAACACTGTACCAATTGAGAAACTGCAATTTTATTGTTATATTTTAATAAGTAAAAATCACAGAGCTAGAAAGAGGGTATTAAAAACGAGTTTTGTATTTTGCTCCATCTGCAATTATGAAGGGCAAAAGCAATGACCTCCTGAGGTCCCTTCCAACTCTGATATTCTATGAAGGCAATATCATTGAAAAACATTGGTGTATAAGATTTACAAGTTCTTATGCTCACTGAACTAAAAGTTAGCCTGAAATAAAAATTTTTTAAAATTTATTCAGATTAAAAAAATAAATGCATGCATTTCATTCGTTTCCAAATGCTCCTTTCTCCCAGTCACTTCATGTATTTCATTTTCTCAGCCATATCTTATTTTGTCTTAAATCCGGGGATAACTGAGTTTGCATTACTCATCAAGTAAGCTTCAGGTAGCTAGAAAGAAAAATGAAAACTTAATTACTAATATATATGTATATCTATATATCTAGCATATCAAAGGCAACTTTTAGGAGGAATTACAACCAAATGCCATTGGAAACATATGGCTTCATAGTTAGATGTGAGTAAATCCCTTAACTCAACCCAAAGATTTGCAAGGCTTCTAGCCTAAGTAAGAGACTTACCTTTGGTTAACATTTCTTTTCAGAATAGCCCATTCACCTGTTCTGAGACTGGATCCAAGTCAATATCATAGAAACAGGGCCGAGTAGGAAGTCCTGGCATAGTACTCATCTAGCAAACAGAAGGAAAAGTGTATTAGTGGAGAGAACCTGGGATTGGGAGTTATGAGGGCTTGGTTCTGTTTCTGGCTCTTCCATTGACTCAAGTGTGACTTTGTACAAATGATTTAGCCCAAGATTTGGCAAAGCACTTAAGCATGTGCTGAAATTTAAGCATGTGCGTAGTTCCACCGATTTCAATGGAACTACTCATATGCTTTAATTAAGCTTTGCTGGACAAGGGAATAACTGTACCACAGTTTCCCTGTTTGTAAGATGGGGTGGGGATCTCAATACCTCACAGAAGCGTTTTGAGGCGTTCATGTATGTCTGCATGTCGAGCTGGATGTGTAAATTCTAGCTTGAGGTGACACAGCTGCACTAGCTCTGATGGAGCAAGTGGGCTAAAAAAATAGAGTACAGGCGAGTCTCATCTTACACGCTGGGGTTACATTCCGCAGGCAGCGCGTAAAGCGAAAATCGCGTATAGTCAAAATTACATTGAGTGCAATGGCGGGCAGAATCGCCCGCACTACAGGTACAGTATTTAAATTGTTATTTTTCTTTTTTTTGTTTTTGCCGACTGCGCAAAGCTGAATTTGCGCATGTTAAATGCGTGTAAGATGAGACTCGCCTGTACAGCGTGATGGTGTGAGGGGCTAGTCACCGTGAGCACATACCTGTCCAAGACGTACTCAGCACGGCTAGCCTCTCTCGCTGCTGTGGCTACATTCTATTTTTAGCACACTAGCTCTGATCACGCTAGCATGGTGATGTCTCCTCAAGCTGGAAGTTAGCTCACAGTGTAGATACACATAATAAACATGTCAGAAGTGCTCTGAGAGCCAAGGATTGAAGGCATTACCTACATGCCTAGTACTGACTTGGAAAAGAGATGGATTTTAAGACAGACGCTGGGCTTGCACTGAGGAGGGGAGGGGCAACTCATTTCCACTGGATGGAACAGCCAGTCACATTAAACTGTATGGAAGTTCTGAGAGCTGTTTTAAGTCAGGACAGTGGTGCACTGGCCAAACAGAGTGCAGAAGCTTGCACTACACCTGCCTATGCAAGCCAATGCCATCGCTTGTTCAGTTGTCAAGTGCCAACATTCACAAATCCATAGAGTTTAAGGCCAGAAGGGGCCATTAGATCATCTAACCCGACTTCCTGTACCTGACAGCTGTAGAACCTCACCCAGTTATCCCTGTTCTGAGCCCAATAACTTGCGTTTGACTAAAGCGTATCATCCAGAAAGGCAGCCTGTCTTGACTTAGAGACCTCAAGAGATGGAGAATCCACCACTCCCTTTGGTAGTGGTTAATAGTCATCACTATTCAAAATCTGTGCCTCCTTTTTAATTTGGCTGCCAAAGACAGACAGACTCAATCATTGGTTCTTATTACACCATACTCTGCTAGGTTAAAGAGCTCTTTCATGGGAATTAAAAACTGAGTACTTGTGCACTGTAATCATGTTACTGCTCAATCTCATTTTTGCTAAACCAAACAGACTTAGCTGTTTAAATCTTTCTCTGTTTGGTGTTTTCTCCAGCCCTCAAGTAATTTTTGTGGCTCTTCTTTACACCGTCTCCAATCTTTTTTAAGAATTATCAGAACTGTACGTACTATTCCAGTATCAGTCACACCAATGCCATATACAGAGGTAAATCACCTCCCGACTTATACTCACTCTTCCTCCTTTTATACATTCAAAGATAGCATTCGGTCGTTTTGCCACAGCACTGACTTGGGAGTTAACATTGAGTTGTTTGGCCACTACAGCCCATAAATCCTTTCCAGAGAGCCCCTGCTTTCTAGGATACAGCCCTCCATGCTGTAGGTATGGCCTGCATTCCTTGTTCCTCTACGTATTACATTTCACTTGGCTGTATTAAAACATTCTGTTTGAAATGAGCCAAGGTTACCAAGTGATATAGACCACTCTGTATGACTGCCTGTCCTCACCATTATTTACTTTTTTGCCACTATTTGTGTCATCTGCAAATTATCAGCAGTGATTTTATACTTACTTCCAGATCACTGATTCAAATGTTGAACAGTGTTGGACCTAGAACTCATCCTTATGGGAACCCATTAGAAACACCCCCATTTGAGGAGGATTCCTCATTGATGGCTGCTTTTCGAGATTGATCAGTCACCCCATTCTTATTCCATTTAATGTGTGCTTTACTGATATTGCATAGTGTTATTTTTTTAAATCAAAATGTCACGCAGTACTAAGTAAAACACTTTACAAATGTCTAGGTATATCACATTGATACAGTTGTCTTTGATTGATAAGCTTGTAATCTCAAGTAAACACCTCTTGTAAAGGAAAAACAGAAAATTGTTGAGCATAAAGTTAATCACAGTATTAAAAAATAAATTACACTGTACCCTGAACACAACAGAACTACAAAACCTGTACATCTCCATAGCAAACCATTTTCTCCATCACATGGATCAGCACAGAAAGATGGGAAAGCACACAGGATACCAGCTGCAATTATTTCTAATCTGTGCTTCCTAATGTCATAGATCTCATTGGCTTTAAATGATACCACACACTTGTCCACGTACATTGTACTTTGCAGGCAGGCTGGATGAAAAGATGGCTCTGAATTAATGGGGTGGGGGCGGGGAGGAGAGAGAGTGAGTGAATGTGTGTGTGTGAGAGAGACATTAATTGCTCTGTTTCTTCCTAAGGTAAGTGGGAAAGCGGGATACCGGGAGGAAGCACAGGCAGGAATGTCTGTGAGGGGAGGGCTCCTGCCTCATACTGGGAATGAGGGGCGATCAACAGGTTATCTCAAGTGCTTATATACAAATGCACAAAGCCTTGGAAACAAGCAGGGAGAACTGGAGGTCCTGGTGATGTTAAGGAACTATGACGTGATCGGAATAACAGAGACTTGGTGGGATAACTCACATGACTGGAGTACTGTCATGGATGGTTATAAACTGTTCAGGAAGGACAGGCAGGGCAGAAAAGGTGGGGGAGTAGCACTGTATGTAAGGGAGCAGTATGACTGCTCAGAGCTCCGGTACGAAACTGCAGAAAAACCTGAGTGTCTCTGGATTAAGTTTAGAAGTGTGAGCAACAAGAGTGATGTAGTGGTGGGAGTCTGCTATAGACCACCGGACCAGGGGGATGAGGTGGATGAGGCTTTCTTCCGGCAGCTCACGGAAGCTACTAGATCGCATGCCCTGATTCTCATGGGTGACTTTAATTTTTCTGATATCTGCTGGGAGAGCAATACAGCGGTGCATAGACAATCCAGGAAGTTTTTGGAAAGCGTAGGGGACAATTTCCTGGCGCAAGTGCTAGAGGAGCCAACTGGGGGGGGCGCTTTTCTTGACCTGCTGCTCACAAACCGGGTAGAATTAGTGGGGGAAGCAAAAGTGGATGGGAATCTGGGAGGCAGTGACCATGAGTTGGTTGAGTTCAGGATCCTGACACAGGGAAGAAAGGTAAGCAGCAGGATACGGACCCTGGACTTCAGGAAAGCAGACTTCGACTCCCTCAGGGAACGGATGGCCAGGATCCCCTGGGGGACTAACTTGAAGGGGAAAGGAGTCCACGAGAGCTGGCTGTATTTCAAGGAATCCCTGTTGAGGTTACAGGGACAAACCATCCCAATGAGTCGAAAGAATAGTAAATATGGCAGGCGACCAGCTTGGCTTAATGGTGAAATCCTAGCGGATCTTAAACATAAAAAAGCTTACAAGAAGTGGAAGGTTGGACATATGACCAGGGAAGAGTATAAAAATATTGCTCGGGCATGTAGGAATGATATCAGGAGGGCCAAATCGCACCTGGAGCTGCAGCTAGCCAGAGATGTTAAGAGTAACAAGAAGGGTTTCTTCAGGTATGTTGGCAACAAGAAGAAAGCCAAGGAAAGTGTGGGCCCCTTAATGAATGAGGGAGGCAACCTAGTGACAGAGGATGTGGAAAAAGCTAATGTACTCAATGCTTTTTTTGCCTCTGTTTTCACGAACAAGGTCAGCTCCCAGACTGCTGCGCTGGGCATCACAAAATGGGGAAGAGATGGCCAGCCCTCTGTGGAGATAGAGGTGGTTAGGGACTATTTAGAAAAGCTGGATGTGCACAAGTCCATAGGGCTGGACGAGTTGCATCCGAGAGTGCTGAAGGAATTGGCGGCTGTGATTGCAGAGCCATTGGCCATTATCTTTGAAAACTCGTGGCGAACGGGGGAAGTCCCGGATGACTGGAAAAAGGCTAATGTAGTGACAATCTTTAAAAAAGGGAAGGAGGAGGATCCTGGGAACTACAGGCCAGTCAGCCTCACCTCAGTCCCTGGAAAAATCATGGAGCAGGTCCTCAAAGAATCAATCCTGAAGCACTTGCATGAGAGGAAAGTGATCAGGAACAGCCAGCATGGATTCACCAAGGGAAGGTCATGCCTGACTAATCTAATCACCTTTTATGATGAGATTACTGGTTCTGTGGATGAAGGGAAAGCGGTGGATGTATTGTTTCTTGACTTTAGCAAAGCTTTTGACACGGTCTCCCACAGTATTCTTGTCAGCAAGTTAAGGAAGTATGGGCTGGATGAATGCACTATAAGGTGGGTAGAAAGCTGGCTAGATTGTCGGGCTCAACGGGTAGTGATCAATGGCTCCATGTCTAGTTGGCAGCCGGTATCAAGTGGAGTGCCCCAAGGGTCGGTCCTGGGGCCGGTTTTGTTCAATATCTTCATAAATGATCTGGAGGATGGTGTAGATTGCACTCTCAGCAAATTTGCGGATGATACTAAACTGGGAGGAGTGGTAGATACGCTGGAGGGGAGGGATAGGATACAGAAGGACCTAGACAAATTGGAGGATTGGGCCAAAAGAAATCTGATGAGGTTCAATAAGGATAAGTGCAGGGTCCTGCACTTAGGACGGAAGAACCCAATGCACAGCTACAGACTAGGGACCGAATGGCTAGGCAGCAGTTCTGCGGAAAAGGACCTAGGGGTGACAGTGGACGAGAAGCTGGATATGA